TTTGTTGTCTGTGATTCTCATGTGTGTTTCAGATTAGCAAAATTATGTCAAGACTTCACAAAATGCATGGAAAAATAGGAAGTAAATAACAGATTATTGTATTAGTCATTTTCACAAATGCATGGAAAAATAGGAACTAAATAACAGATTATTGTATTAGATATTGCTCAGTATATTAAGATTATTTTTTCTTTTTGCATTTTAAATATAGCCAAACAAATTTTTTTTCTCCAACGGCACCGTTTGCTTGTCTTGCGACTGATCATTGTCCCACGATAACTCGTTGTATATTTTAATAGTGGTAGTTCCTGTCAACAACTGCAAACCAAGTTTCCTCCCAGAGGGACTGTAATGGTCTGTGAAACCGAGCCACATGTCAGTTATTGTTTTTTTTTCAGTGTGTGTTTTAATCATAGAGCCTATATAAAACCCGGGCGAAGACCAAAAATATATATAAAACTCTAAAAATAACGTTATTAGAATGGGTGCCTGGAAGAACATATTGTGACTTTATGATTAGACCTAGATTACAAGTCAACATAAACAAAAAGTCATTTGCAGATCGTTACTTCTTGAGTATATTAAATGATCTGTTGACGTATCAGTATCTCTACTTGACACAGGGTTTAACTGTTTTCTTAAATACAGTCCATGCTTTTCTAACAGCTGATTTGCTAATGCACGGTGGTCCGCTGCCGTACACTGCACCCACCTGCGCACTGACATGATGGATCACCATGTGCGTGACCTGTTTGTGCAATACCCCAATAAACCCGTTTTAAAACAGAACCAGAATGTGGCGACATCTGCTACATGTCACCTGCACTAGAAAGTTGACGCCACTTCACAACAACAACAACAACAACAACGTCCACAGTCACCTTTTCGGTGAAGTTGTCGGCTCTTGCTTAAGTGCTTGTTGCCGGCTGTTGATTACAGCTTTTACTCGTTGCAGGTTTTGCACTCAGCTGCACCTGATTTGCTTCTTGTCTCGGTCAGTAACGATCCGCCCACGTTGAAACCTTCTCTTTTCACTGACAAATTGATTGATCACGACCAAACCCATGATTGATTTCCACCACTTCAGAGGAGCCTCACCTCACATCACCGTCCTTTATTTTTCTTCAATAAGCCCACGGTCTCTTGTCCCTTCTCCATGTTGTTTGCTCCACTTTGTTTTCTGACATTTGGACGGGTCAAGGACCGGGGGAGTTTCCTGTCTTATACTTTGTTTGTAAAGGACATATTTTGGGCTTTATCTCGGGCCTGGCTGCTCGAGTCGAGTCCTCTGGAGCAGAGGGAGAGGTTAGCATTCCACTCACACACCCATTCCAGACTCCAGAATCAGTTCAGGCTAACCATTAAAACATTAATGAGTTCAGTGTGTGTGTGTGTGTTTGCCAGTGAAATGAAGCACCATTCACAGTGTCTCTGTAACAGCCTTCTTTGAAACTTGATATCATGAATGTTATTTTCTGTTCTTTAATATCTGAGAAAAGGAGTTCATTGATCAGTTAGCAGGAAGACATTTTAAACATCTTTTTTCTTGATAATTTCGTTTTTTCTTCTTTGTTTTGTACCTTATTTTTTCTACCTCTTTAGGAGAATTCAGGAAATTACAAATGCAGCTTTAAAAGCCTTCTTTTGTTTCGACATCTTTCTAATGTAGTTGTTACATTTAAGTCCGTCACATGATCACGAAGTCACTGTCCCAAAGTCACTGCTGGTAACATTAGATGAGCGCTCTGACCGACACACATTTGCCATTGGGATTAAATATCCTTTGTGTGAGAATAACTGAGAATAATTTATACTAATGAATGATGAGTTCTGACAGATTACATCGTAATTTAGAGGGTGACCAGGGTTTATGGCATATTGTTGAATAAAACTAATTATGTAAAGGTAATCACTGAGGATTCAAGGAAGTGCAAACCTTGATAAAATCACCATCTGGTGACTGTGCCGTTTAATGACTGTAATTGAACCACTCGTGACACTTGACTGACTTTACATCTGGTTGAATGAGTCCATAATTCAGCTAATGGAGCCAGTGTTCCCTTAATAACTATTACATGAACCGACGGTGAGACGATAATGGGCAGAAAGAATACAGTCAGACTACAGTCAGACTACAGTCAGACATCAGGATCACTGTGTTTATTCAGGATCTGATCTGTAATTTTTTTCTGCTATTTCTTTGGGTTAAATATTGTTTCTACTTTGCTTTTAGTACAAACTTTACTTTTCTTAATTTCGTCCCCACAGTTTTGTCTCTTTATTTTTTACGTTTTGTTTGTTTATGTTTGACTTGCTCTTGTGCCAAGATCCAAAGCAGCGGTGCCCAACTTTTTTTGTACATTTTTTCACTGCGTCTCACTGCAGCCCGGTACCAAATGACCAAAGGTCTGACACCGGTCCTCGGACTGGGGGTTGAAGACTGATCCCTGATCTCAGGGAGTTCTCTGAATTTTAAATTGCTGCTGCTGTAGTTATTTCTCTTTTGACAAGAACATTTAAACAAGATGAAATAAAAACTGCTGTATTTGTAAATAAAAGATTAACTCCGGGCCTGGTTGTTTAATTTACACCCAAAACAGTTTAATTTGATGCTAACTGAAGAACCTCTGAATGTCATTAAGGTCAAAGCCCGTGTCTATAATCTGACCTTGGTGAGTTGCGTAGCAGGAAAAAAGCCTTTCCTGTCCAAAACAAACAAACAGAGCAAGACGTCGGTTTTGCCAGTAAACACAGAGACAAAGCCCAGGCCTCTGTGATTAATGTGCATGGGACAAATGGAATTAAACATTAAGGTCTTAAGGCCTCAGCATCAGCAGACATGTCTGGGAAGGAGAGAGTTCACATAAACCTGGTTCAGTTTGACACATGAGTTGGTGTCTGACAATTGAAACCTTTGTGTTCTTCACAGTTTTCCCATCTAGTTACGCTAACATACACTGGATTAGCTGAGATACCAAAACAAGACAAAAACATACAGTAAATACACATGCCAACAAAGGATTCTACTTTATCACAACTACAAGTTGTGATAATTGTTATTATTCAAAACGTCTGCTCTTTGACTTGGAGCATTAGTGTGTGTTTATGCACACATTTATACACAAATAATCAAAAGCATATGAAGCTTCCAAATACAAAAGTAGCTATAATTTATTTAATTTTTAGAATATATATATTTTTTGAATTTGGAATTTTTTTTAGGGATAATCCTACATTTCTATGTTTTTAAAAATGTTTTTTTAGGGATAATCCTACATTTGTATGTTTTTAAAAAAAGGGTTTCTCTTGCTGATTTGTTGGCTGTTTTTTTTTTGTCTGAAATAACAAAGTCTTAAAAAACAAACAACATCAAACGCCTGTTGGGTGTCATTGCTGTCGACTGGCGTGTTGACACTTGTGGCAGTGATGTGAGTTATACACTGGAAACAGCACAGAAGCGCTATTGATAACATGGTAACTTTATACGGGGCTACGCTCAAGCATGACTTTTGAAGACTTCCTTTTGCTGGAGTTTAAAGAGGCGGCAAATGAGAGAATTTTGCTCCTCGTTCAAAGTCTGTACACAAAACAAAAACAAAAGACTTACCTACTTATGTCATAAAATAATACACTATAATTTCTCATAATAAATATCCAAATACTCAACATGTATGTAATAAACGTGGTTCGGTTGGTTGACTTCCAAGTGTCATTTAAATCTCTCCCTAACGTGTTTCGTCAGGTCTTCCATGTTGAAGAACCTACTGTCTCGACATCTTGACAAC